TCTCTTTGTCATCTCTCCTCCTCTCCTTCGCTCTCACTCTCTTCCTACTTATATCTCCTACCCTTATCCTCTTCTTCTGTCTTGCCTCCTCGTCCTCTACTTCTCTCATCCCTTATCCTCTTTCTCTTCCTTGTCATTCTATCTCTCCTCTTGCTTCTCCTCTTTTTCATCTTTTGTTTCGCCTCCTTATCCTTCCATCTCCCTTCTGTTCCTTTCTCTCCTCCTCTTCCTCCTCCTCTTCCTCCTCCTCTTCCTCCTTTCCTCTTCTTCCTCCTCTTCCTCCTTTTCCTCTTCTTCCTCCTCTTCCTCCTTCCTCTTTTTCCTCCTCTTCCTCCTTTTCCTCTTCTTCCTCCTCTTCTTCCTCCTCCTCTTCAGCTCCAGCTACTCCTCGGTGCTGTTGGACTCTGAGAAGGAGCAGCACATCGAGTCGTTCCTGCAGACGGGGATCATGTCCAGACGCAGCCTGCGTATCGATGACGGCCTGTTGGACCGCAGTCTGCCGCACGCCAGCGCCTCCTTCAGCGTGGGAGGAGCCGGCTGGAGGAGCAACAGGTGATCTGAGAGAGAGGTCTGCTGCTTTGAAAATCAAGTTTTCATCATTTGAGTTATTTTTGTTTTTCTCTTCCTCCTCTTGCTCCTCCTCCTCATCTTCCCCTCCTCCTCATCTCCCTCCTCCTCTTCTTCCTCCTATTCTTGCTCCTCTTCCTCCCCTCCTCCTCTTCCTCCTCCTCATCTTCCTCCTCCTCCTGTTCCTCTCCTCCTCTCTCTCCTCCTCTTGCTCTTCCTCCCCTCCTCCTCTTGCTCCTCCTCATCTTCCTCCTCCTCTTCCTCTCTCTCCTCCTCTTGCTCTTCCTCTCTCTCCTCCTCCTGTTCCTCCTCCTCTTGCTCTTCCTCCTCCTCCTCCTCCTCCTCCTGCAGGTCGTTGAAGTCTCGTCGTTCTCAGCAGCTCTCCTCCTCCTGCTCGGAGTCTCTCCTCCACACTCCTCGTAAACAGACCGGTCACTCGTTTCTGAACAGCAGCCTTCACAGCGGGGCCTCCGACGCCTCCCTGATCTCCTCCATGCTGGACGAGTCCTCCATCCAGGAGACCACGCTGCTCGACACGCTCTGGGGTAAAACGTTCCTCAGGCGCCTTATCGCTCAGTTTTTCACATTATTAGTAACTTTTACAACTTAAAGAGACGGCAGCGGAAATGAGGATATTTACTGACGGTTCTGTAAGGGGACTCGAGAGGGAGAAGAGAGAATTGAGAAGGGGTCTGTGTTGACTATGTTGTATTTATGTGATGGTGGGAGTTTGTGTAATGTTTATGTTGTGGGGTAAGGGGCTGCAGCTGGGGTTTTGGGGTCAAAGGTCAACTGCTGGTGGTTTGAGAGTAGGACGGAGGGAGAGGCTGACGCTATCATTTTTCTTTGGTCTGGTCCCCCAAACCCCCGGGATGGGACTGGCAAATTGTAGGACTGAGCCTGTTTTAAGGTTTGCACATGTGGGAGAGGGGGGGCACCATCCAGACCCCCCCGCCCCCCCGCCCCACCCCCCATGCAGCAGCTGGATTTTTTACAAATTCAAGTATACTGGTATCACTGTTTGTCGGGTTATTTTGCTGAAAACCAGTGTGGTGACGATGTCTGTTGTTCTCTGGTGTTGCAGGTTTGGATCAGGACATGGATCCTAAAGGTGAGTTGTTTTTTTCTCCACCTGTCAGAAATATGAAATAAACTTAACGCTCCATCACTTTTATTCCGTCCTCACACTCAGAACATTTTTCTTGCGTCCGTGTCACAGAGAGCACCGTCGTCCTGGCAGACCGCACGCTGATCGCTTCAGACGGCTGCTGTCCCAAACACCAGCTGCACACGCTCAGTAGGGTTTACTGTAAAGACTGTGACGAGCTGGACAGAAAGTACCCCTCCCTCTCCTCCCCCTCCTCCCCCTCCTCTTCCTCCTCCATGCAGCCTCCAGGCCCGGACACTTCCATCATCTACAGCCGCAAGAGTCGCACGGGTAAGAGTCACTGAATTCATGTCAATTCTGAAGTGGAATCATTATGTAGAAGATCAGGAAACCCACTCCCGTCTGTTCTCCTTTCCTCCTCCTCTTGCTGTACCTGTATATTAATCTTGTCATGTTTGTACTAGGTTATTTTAGTGCTTGCTCTAATCTCACTCCTCCTCACAGTTTCTCACCAGACGAGCTCTCTGAAGATGTTTTGTTTATGACTCTGTGAGCGTCTTTTAAGATCAGCTGTTTGTGTGATGTACCTGTGTGGAGCAGGTGTGCTGGTGTCTGTGTGGGACAGGTCGGCAGCCTGTGTGTTCTCCCTGCTCTCTCTGCTCTACCATCACCTGATGCTGCGCAAACACAGAGACCTAACAGGTAGCAGAGACTGATTCTCACCAGCAAGTTTCAACTAGCGTCTAATTCACATAGCACACACACAAAGGGTTAAACACTCCTCTAACGACGGCGTCTCTGTGCCGCGCTGCTGGTTCACACATT